GCATCTTACTTCTTAGCGGTGAAGACGAATTAAATGCTTCAAATCTTCAGTTCAGAATCATATTCAGTTCATCAGTTTTTAATCGAGTTTCAAAATCATGTTATCAATAAATACATTTCACTGCGGACACTCCATAAATTATAACAGAACTACATACTTTATAGCACAATTTCCAGAATTCCAAAAGCTGGAGCTGATTCGAAAATATTCCCAGTTAACAGAATTTGCGTCTCTATCACGCAGAATATTTTACTTTACTAAAAATTAAATATTCATAATTTTTTAATAAATCGTAAAAAAGCACATGTACAAGGACCGTGCTTTTACGCACAGAACGTTCTCAAAACAAAATCACAAATAAACATGAGCCTTTCGAAAAAGTCATTCTCAATACAAAGTATTTTTTGGAAAATCAATTTTAAATTTATTTCAGATCACATTTCGATTATCAGTTGAGCATAATGCAATTTTGAATGATTTCCTGCTTCTTATATGATGATATGTTATATTGTTTTATCAAGAAAACTAATATTATATCTCTATATATTTTTTTGTACTTGTACGTAACGTGACCATTGCATTTTGTTTCAGGTTAGACAGCAATGAGGGCCTTATCTACTCAACCACGTAACTTTTTCTTCAGGCAAATATGGGCTTTCAGTTTAGTGCGGGTTTGCCTATGAAGTAAGTAAAAACAGATGATGATAATATTTAAATTCACTTGACAAATTGAAGCTATGAAAAAGGAAACTTACTGTTACAGTCATTTATTTGCGCTATTACTGATCATAGCTTTTTTGGCTGCAGTAACTATTTAAAAAAAATAAAGACCTTAAAGTTTCCTCAGAAGCTACTATTAAATATTTTATTACTCAAGCTACTGCTTCTTCAATTATTTTATTTTCAATTCATATTAAAACTAATATGAATGTTCAAGGGTCTTTATTTTTTTTAAGGTATTTATAATAAACCCAACTTTCTACATGCTTTTTATTATGAGAGCTCTTTTACCTAGCTCTTAAAGAATAATATTATCTACTGTATTAACTATTCAAAAACTAGCCCCTATAGTCCTTATTACATATACCTTTTTAAGTTTAACTTTAAGGAAGTTAACTTCCTATTTTTAATTATTTTAGAATCGAGGTTTACTGGGGCCTTAACAAGATTAAACCAAGTGTGCTTAAAAAAATATTAGCTTACTCCTCAATTAATCATATTAGTTGGATACTTGCATCTTTATTATGCTCCTGTTCAACTTGATTAGTTTATTATTTTATAATTTTAATATGTTAAAATTTTTGTTTAACAATTTCTTTTGGGTGCAGTAACTATTTTTCAAGTCCTTACTACAAAAATTACACAAACACGCCACGATGGATAACTAGCAACTGGAGGCGCTAAATCGTCACATAACATTAAAACAGTATTGAGAAAAACAGATAAATCAGAGGAACATGATTTATTAAAAAAATACATTTTTACTAGAGATGTGGAAATCTGTAAAATGCGTATAGCTCAAGATGGAAACTTCCACGAAGAGAACAGTTTTGCATCAAAAGTGTTTCGAAACTCTCAAAAACTGGCCGATGCTAAATTTATTTCAGATAGGGGTAAACGAAAAGATACGTTTTTTTTTCTCCGTCCACTTATCTGTGAGACAAATTGGGATACATTTTGATGTTTTCAACTCGGAAATCTGTGATAGAATGTTGTATACACATTTTACAAATAAGTACCCTATAATTATCCTATCGGATGAAGAGATAAAATATGGGTTGTTTAGTGGAAAATTATTGAAAAAACTTATTCATCTTTTGCCTTTTGAATATCCCGCTGGTATTCAATTACAAACTACTGGAAAGCTTGCTGACGATGCGAACGAGCATTCAGCAACTTTCATTCGATAGGTAGATCATAACTTTTCTCATCTGTTACATGTTCTGAAGCAATTCTTAAGAGTATAGAAATTGGGGAAAATGCTGTAAGAATGTACGCGCAAATGCTATTGTAAACGTCCCTTTTATAATTAATAAATTAATTTATTAATAATAAAATTTATTATTAATAAATAAAAATTAAATAAATAAATACGAGAAGTAAAAATAGAGAAAACCGTCGAAACGAGAACGATCTTGATACCTACTGACAATCAATAGAAAGGTAAACCAGATGAAGCGGAATGAGCATTGTTAATATTCAGCTCTTCAGCAGGCTCAGGTGTAAAAGTCTACTAAAGCTCAAATTTTAAGCAGAATCAGTGCAGGTAATTTGGACTGATTCATTAAAGGTTATTTTGGATGTTGGTAGTTTGTAGTTTTTGCTGTTAAGTTTCGTTAACTTACCAAAATTTACTCATAATTCTGGCATACTTAGTTAATTTTGAAAAAAATATATTTTTTGGTATTTATACATTTTCTGCATTTTAAGATACATTAGATTAAATGTGCCTGAGGATAAAGTAATTATTTTTTCTTGTAATACAGATCCAATTCAATTGAATTTAATCGTATCCAAAAAACATTTTCCGCTCAACCGTTTGATGCAGTTTCAATTTTTCGTTTCGGTAGTTCCTCAGTAATTTTTCAAATGCCGGCAAATTGTCTAATTTGTTCTTGGAATTTCAGTCAGAAAAAAATGGGTTGAAATAGTCACTATTGATGCATTGTCTTCTCATTCTAAAACAATCAAACCAACGAGATAATTGCAAAATTTTAATATTTACCACATTTCATCATGCCTATTAAACAAACAACAACAAAGAAACCTGTTTTGAACAGATTTTTAAGGACAGTTAATTATTTAACGACATAAGTTATCACTACTGGTCTTCAAACAAGAAAATGATTGTTTATTGGAAAACATATTTTCATGATTACAATAATAAACCCTGGTTAATTAAAACGAATGCAGGCTTAACTGTTTGTGTAATTTTTAATGCGTTTATTTGCTTTAAAGTATGTTTAAGTGTTTTGTAAGAGAGGCAGGGATCTGGGGACCCTCCGAAATCTATTTCCCTTGCTAATCAATGGATGCCTATTCTGTTAACCGCCAAGTAGCACATTTATTTAGATTGTTTGTTAGATAAGCAAGATGTTAAGACCAGAAAGTTTGCACTAATGGCAACAAAGGATATCACCTCTATGCTAAAACCATATATCCACTAGGAAGTGTAGGAAAGGGTATTTATGAGCATGTCAAAAACCGGCATTTGGTCAATTCAGGTATAAGTTTGGGATGAAACGGAGGAACAGAAAATGTCTTTGAAAGAGCTTGGGTTAATGTTGAATGGACTAATCGGAATTATTGACACTTTTGTTCAGCAACAATCCACCGTTGCTTTCTTGCTTTTCTACAAAATACATCGAATAATAATAATCTCAGAGCATCCACGCCGATAAAAGTATATTTTTCAAGCTACCATGCAATATAGTTCGAGAGCTAAATGAAGAAGTAAATGACAATTATTATCAGACACACTGCTTTAAAACGTGCTTAACTATATTACCAAGGTTTAATTAAAAAATAAACTAAGACAACCAGAATTCGAGCATCTTATCTAAATTTTAACATCAGTAGGTACCTATGAGTATGTATATTTTTTAGTCATTGGCGCAGCAAGTAATTTTTTGCAATTATTGGGATTGAGTAGATACCAAAATTAAATTGCCTCTTCAAAAATATATTGCATAGGTAAATTTGTAAAAAAAACATGAAAAATCAAATGTAGAAAAGTAGAATGTGAAACAATAAAGACTCAAACGAAAGTGTTGATGTCCTTTCTTACAGTTCTCATTACAGACGATAATTTGATAGTTATGTATATTACTAGCATGTTTTTAACCTTGTATCGCTTGGTACTCGATTTTTGGTTTCAATATTAAGCTAAAATATATTGTTTAATTATGTATTTTTTCTTCCAGAGGCGTAAGTGCCGTTTTATATTCTGAAACATTCTACTTGTACTAATCTAATCGTATTTTGATCGTAATTTTTTTCTGAAGTGCCCCCTCTTGATGCATCTCCGTTAATTAAGGGCTGCATGGCTCTTAGATCAAAAAAATGTTTTGGGCTCATCCAAGTCCAGTTTTTGCTCGAATTCTGGCTTGTTATTATTTGTATTTTTTTATGCGAATTTTATTAAATCTTCAAAACTTAGACATAAGTAAACTAGTTTCGCTTATCCATAACGAATAAAAATTACATATCCAAAGTAGGTTTATGTCGGTGCGCCTGTGGGGTCCAAATGGCCTTCTTTACTTGTGTGTTTTGATAAAACTGGAGGAACGAATAAACAAACACTGCGTTTTATGTCACTAATATAATCCCTCGAGGTTCTTGAAAATAGAAAACACATTCGTTTTTTGTACTTGAAACGTTACTTACATCGCCTCATTATAAAACAGGTTTGTTGATAATTAAGTAGTCGTTTAACATACTAAACAGTTAGTGAGCAAGCCATTGAAACTGTTTTTAAATAAATGGTGCATACGTACAATAACAACAATAAACTCAATTTTGCTTGCAGATCTTAGCAGATGCAAGCTCGAGTATTCCTTTGGAAATGTGTAAACCATAAGTATAAAATAAATTGGGGTGTAATCATTTACTGTAATATGCCATGAAATAATTCCTACTGATCACTACCGGTATAAGTATTAAAGTCAGCAATGTACGATTAATAATTATTCAATTTCAATAAAGATTTTAGACACTTTACTTAAACATTTCAAATCAAAATTGTAAAACACAAATAATAAGCAAAATCGTGCTCCCGATTTTAAATTTAAATTGAAACGTTGATTATTTAACTTCTGATGTTTTGTAATAGAAAAATTAACGGCCTGAAATACTCGGTTAATAATTCATAATCAATCTATGTTTCTTAGATGATCGAAACCAACTAATTCTTGATGATAACCGACATTCTTCGCAACCAAATTCAACGCCAACCATATCACAATTAAATCAATTCGACAACTTCTACATTAAAAACTCACCAAAATAAAATAAAGTATATGAAATTAAATCCTGCACATTCTCTTCTAATGAGTCCATTCACATTTCAAGTCACAACAAAAATAACAAACATTGAGAAAATGTTAATAGACATTAAAAAAAACCACCCTCAATCAGTTCTGTATAAACGCGTGAATAGAGTTTAGCCCGATGCTTCCGAAAACGGGACGGTGCAAAGTACTATTCACTACAAGAATTCACCCTCTATAAATTCATTAGACAGGTAGGTGCTACCAAAAGCTGAAAAAAGCCAAACCATGTACCTAATAGACGTTATAGTACCAAGACACACGCACGAACTGAACCGACTAGAGACTGAGGAGCGAGACGTACACGAGTGGTACTGAAAAGTACCATAAACCTACTATGTTGACTTCGCCTGGCACGAGTATTCGGAGTCTCAAAATACCTAAACCATTAATTATTAAATAAACTTAATATTTGGAACAACTACGATTCTTCAAATTTTTTTACAAAAAATCACAACAACCAATAAGCACAAACCATGCTCCCACTGAGTTTACGTTTAGTTATTAAATGCTACTATTGAAAATTGAAAATCTGTATGAGTTTGAAAGAAACAAGCACTAACATCAACCATGTCAAGTTATTAAAAAAATCAGAAGCCAGTTATTCGTAGTTGGTCCACTGTATAATTTTTAACTTTTCGGGCCTTTGAACGAGAGAAGTTTTTCGAGAAGTTTTTTTTTTAATGAGGACTTTGATAAAAAACAACCAAACGTATACTTTTCATATTAAAGCAGTTTATAAATTCACTGTACTACTGGAATCAGGTTTAATCAGATTACGAAAATATTCATAAGGTTTGATTATGAACAAAATATATTTTTATACATAAACATATTTTTCTTTCAATATTTTATTTGACGGTCCAGAAAACAATAATAACGAAACTGGTTTTACGGCCGGTCCAATTTTTGATGAACTGTAACCATTTTTTGGTACAGTTTTCTTATAAACTTAGGGAAACCTGGTAAATAACTACACATTTGATAAACAACATTTATGAGAAAATCTTCTTCAATTTCTGCAAAATATCTGTAAAATCTTCAACAATCACACAACTTCAGAAAAAAGCCATTGGTTGATCTAATATTTGCCAATCGCTAACGAATGAGACATAGAAGAAAGCCACCTAAGAAATGAAATTATCATTACCATTATAAGATAAAAGATTTCCTGAGTACTTTCATAATTCCCTTATTTCGTTTTCTGATTTAATTTAGAACACCTAAATAAAAACATGATGAAACTAAAAGAAAAAGACGTGGAGTGGAATATCGAAAAATTAAAAACAATTTTGATAGTCCAAGACCATACGATGATTATCATTCAAGAGTCACCCTGATTCAGAGTCATTTTGTTCTGAAATAATATGGGCTAATAAACAAATTGACTAACACAATGAACGACGTTTATTCCCACTTTTTTACCATCATGGTAAAAGTTAAAATTTCTAAATCAGATTCACTGAGAAAAAAACTGCAAAACTTGCAGTTTTCAAAATAAAAATGAAAGGAAGTTTAAATTCTGCTCAATTTTTTTCCTAATTAGACCTTTAAGAATTATTACCTCGATCGACCACTTGCTATTTAGTTCAACCTGCTGCTCCCTAATATAAACAAAAATCTACATTTTCCACAGAAACTTTCTTGATAGAGTGTTGCTACGCCCAAATTCGAAATAAATATTTTTCGGTAATAATATATACATACTATAAATCATTCTATCTTGGAAATATTTCTCGAAAAAATCACTGTTTTGCAATGAAAAAAAAATGTTTATAAGAAATAAATTAATACTAACCAAAATAGATTCCCAAGTAGAAATGTGCGGAAGATCAACTCTTTCTGGCCGGTCTGAAAGAAGTAAGTCCAATTCTTTGCACCTGAACGAAGCTGGTGGGGTCGGCGCGACCTCTTCGAGGTGCAGCGGTAGCCACGACCGGGCCTTCCACGGCAGCAGGAGCGTTATTCAACTGTTCTGTGTTAGGCCGCCGAAGAGTTCCCCTTGCTCCTCAAGAACGGTCTCGTCCGTCTGTTCTTCTGATGTAAGCTGGTTGAATAGATGCAAACTACTTCTATGCAGCACTGTTAGACATCGAAAAAAAAACGAAATACTTTCGTATAACAATAAACAACTTACTCATGAAAAAGACTTAAGGGTGCAGGAACCAAAACAATAAATATTTAGACGTTTTATTCCCGAGGGAGTAAGCAAAGATTATTAAAAAATCACTACCCAAATGGTAATATAATTAGAATTATTCAGTGTACATTATAAACAGCGTAGTGAACATTTGAATCATAAAATAAAATGTGTTTTCTTGGACATAAATATTTTTTTGCTTTCGCCTGTACACGCGAGTATAATAAAGTGCTTAAATTAATTCAATTCATATTGAAAATATTGACTTACTTTATCTCAAAATACGTCCATATTTAATGAAAATTATAATTTTAATCCAAAAATATTCAAAATTGACTTATTTTCAAATAAAAACTTGAATAAAGTTGACTCACTTATTCTTGCAGGTGAAAAACATTTCAAATAAAGACGTGTAGATTCGTGATAAGAAATATATTAAATTAGTTTCGAATAATAACATAACTATACTTAAAAAATGAATCAAAAAGTATGTAATATTTATCTTTAAATATGACATTATCTCCGCTATGAAGGTGATACGAATGTCTTTACTTAAACACGGAGAACATTCAACTAAAAATGTATTTGTCATTGCCTTCATTAGATATTTAAAAATATAAATAATAATCGTGTAACAGAACAATATGACACAACCGTGTGACAGAAACATATTTTTTTTCAATTTGATGTTCAATCAGGAGATTTTTCGAAAAAAGGTTTAGTTCTGGCTTTTCTGATTTTCTTTCGCAAATTATATATGTATAATATAAGTTACTTTTTGGTGAGGTATCGCCTCTAACGTTTGTGACTGCAAGACATGTATATTAAAAAAAATGAAAATTTGTATACTAAGCTGAATTATTTGTCTATTTCCTATATAAATACCGATTGTGGCGCTAAATTTAGTATGCAGCAATATTCAAATTAGAAATAATACGTTTAGATCAATAATACATGATGGTTTAATTAACCGGGTAAAAAATTATAACATTTATACACTGTGGACCAAAGTTCTCACCATGTGGGAACACTTTTTAATATGTTTTACGAAAAAAAGTTATTATTCATAAAAAGTTCTGTTTCATCATCAGAAATTATTTTCTTTCAATTTTTGGTTCACACTGTATTTATGTAAAAAATCTGACTTTGTTCCTCACAACATAAATTTTAATCTGATACACGGGAGAACATAAAAAAACTAAAGTCGTATTTATCTCGTTCGTTATGAGGCGTTTGACCTAGCTTGGAAGCAGATTTTCGATGTGATTATCAATAATGTTTCAACACATTTTAGAGGTGTACTGATCATGGTCCAAGTCTTCGATCGAATTGCTTTCCATTCGTCAAAAAACGGCTTTGTTAAACTAGTTGCAAGTATACTCGTTAAAAATAACCTGTTGCTAATGGTTAAATGTGAATCTAACATGTCGCTTCATCTACTTAGACACATTTAAGGAAAATGGCTAAATTGAGTCCAAATTAAAACTTTGAATCACAATGCACACAATTCTCATACTTTGTTTATGGGCCACTTTCGTTTTCATTATCACTAACATCTGAAGAACTGTCGTCTTCGTCGGGTAAAGCATCCAATTGTCTCAACAGATCCTTAAATTTGCACATTCTCGTGTCTTGTGCGGTAAGTAACTCGAGAAGGTCGTCTTGGTCTCTTCGGTAGCTGAAATAAAATTTCACATCCATTCATCAGAAGTGGTAAGAAAACCGCACCCACCTTTCCAACTCTGCAGTTTTTTCTGCCAGTTCTTCTTCCACTTGTTTCAATCGAGCATTCTCCATGGATTGTCTTCTCTCTAATGATATAACATGATCGTCAGCCACAGCTGTAGGTGGTGGCTGAAATGAAAAGTTATGATTGCCATTAATAAAATGCTGTTAAAAAAACGCAGATTCTTATTTCAACCAGTACGGGGATTCGTCAAAAATCAACACTTAAGAAAAAGAGCTTTATATTTACCTCAACAGGAGCAGTCTGCACCGTATTAGTAACTTGCGAAGCTCCTGTTGATAACTGTGCCTTAAGAAGTGTGTTCTGATCTATCAACTGAATATTTGTTTGTCGTAACTCATCTGCTTGCACCTGAAAAAGATATAATGACCTCTAATATTCGACACTTAAATCAAGGTTACTCGATTTAAATCAATAAAAAAACGATCTAAATCTTTCAAATCGGCTCACCTTTACTTCATCGTACTGCTTTTCCAAAAAATTATACTTTCGTTGCCAGTCTTGTAATTTTTTGTCTTGATCACGGATTAAATCTTTATACTGTAATAGCAAGGCATTCTCGTGATCGCTCAGACTTAACTCGGAAAGACCATTAGAAAGATCGCGCTGCACTCCTAATGCCTGAATAATCAACCCTTCCATAGCTTTAAATAGTTTACAAAATTCGAATTCTGCAAGAAACACAGAACTTAAAACATAACTTTGCACACTATATCGAATTTTATTATGATTATGTTTAATATGTTTATAATATGAAGAAATATTCTGGTTTTTGTTTATATTTATATACAAAAATGTAACAAACGAAGCTAACATACAAGTATAAACAATATATAATTTTACTGATTTATGCATTTGTCACTCTCGTCGGTTGAGAATAATTCGATGATTGAAATGTAGTTTTCCAATTGACTTCCCAAAGCAATGATACAAATACCAGCATGAAACAGAAAAAAGTAACTATGTAGTTGAGCTTAAAAATGTGCGATTCATTCGAAAATGAGAAAGTTGTATATGGCTCACAAAAAATAAGCATTAATTTAAATATAAAAATTGAATATGTCGAGGAAACAATACTTTTTATGTATAATAATGGTGACAATGGATGGAACGCACATACTTAATAAAAGGCCCAGCCGAATTACATTAGAAAATGCTTGAATTTACCGTTGAAATAAAAAAATCATACTAAGAAGACAAAAACTGAAACTTACCTAAAAGTAATTCACTGGAATGTTTAGCTTTAATTTGGGGCTGCTTTGCAGCTTTAGCGTATAGCTCGTGCCGAGAAATTTCATTCAACTTCTTACAATATGTTTCCAATCCTACTCGTTTCTCAATTAACTGAGACAAGTTTTCTTTGGAATAATTTTGAACAGAATTGTCGTTGAAAAGTACACAAAGGCCCATAATAAAGGCACATAAACCTGAAAGAAAACATTTAATTCATCAATAAATAAAACTAAAAAAATGAATTAATTAATCATTGTAGGATTTTTATTATATTCAAAACAAGTATGTATTACCTTGCAGTAATTCTGCATTATTGTCAAATTCACTGGCAGAAGTTTGTGCTGTTAAAAACGCCATCACGCCCGGTACATTTACAAAGATTTTCACCGCTGCCGGACAGTGGGCCAACCACATGGAAACCAGCATTAATATACCTATAAATCTGTATTAATACCTTTTGCTTAATCGACAGTTTCATAACATTTACCAAGTTTGGCCTGCAATTTACTGGTATGTTGTAAAAAAACTCCACATTGACTTAGTAGGGTAACAGGTTGAGCCCCTAGATTTGTGGCTAATAATACACGCAGCAATTGCTCTTTTTGAGCCGGATTCTCAATAAGACAATGAGATAGTCCAACGGCGGAAAACCAATTACTCAAAGAATCACTACTAAAAAGACCGCTGCACAATAATTGACCTGAAATTCAATACAGAAAAATACGTTCAATAATAGCTGACTTTAAAAACACAATTCGAATGAAATGAAATCTAAGATACCTGTGGTAAGTGCAGTATTTCCGGATGAACTAGGCAAAAGCGTCTGCACAACTAGTTCTTGTCCTATTTCATTTTTATATAGGAAACATTCAAAACAGTATAATACGGCACATCTAGAAATCAATAACAAGTTTTTGGTATTTAAAGAAATTCAGAGAAATTAAAAATACTGACTGTTTGTAAATTCCCACCACAGATTCCTGGAGAAAATAATAAAGCGTGAAAGTAAATTACTTTTTGAAATTTTTTTAACGAAAATAATTAATTAAAAAATAATAATTTGTAACTTTTCTATGTATATTTTTATCTTTGCTCAATTATAAACAATATTTATGACCAGATTAGTGTTTGTACACACTTTCTATGACTAAAAGGACTATTAGTAGAAGTTTTATTTTTAAATTATAAGGCGCTAAAAAAGATCACTTCGAACATTAAATAAAAGCGACTCGTCTAAAAGAAAATTGTTATTTATTAAGTACACGGTATATTAGATATAATTACTCGTTCAAATCGCCTATTATACAATACCCCGTCTAAACTGGACGATAAAAAAATTATGTGCAAAGAAAATGTCGACAGATTATAATTTCTCTCCCAAAAAAGCCCGAAAGAAAATTCAGTGCAGATTGCATTACCAACAAAACAATTTCTTTTTTCAGATTTTTTAAATCTTAACTTCGACGCCCTCTTTTTGGTAAATTGCCCAATTTTGGATTACACAAATTATAATAAATAATTATGTTTTCACCGCAGGAATGAGATGGGATTTTACAGACATTTTAGATGTTAGATGAAATAAAAGTAAAAACAACTTACCTTAAAGTAAAAGGTTGTTTTTCATTAACCATTGACATAATTAGAATAACCAGTGCCGGCCTAGGGGGGCTTGAAGGTGCCAGAACATTGGCAAAATACTCTTGATTGGTTAAATTGCCCCTAATTACTTCGCCCACTGAATTTATGGTTTCAGTCAGAATATCTGCAGGCACTCCTAATAGGCGAATAGAAAAATAAGTACCTTTGTTCTAATTAAAGACATCAACATTATTACCGGTAGCCATGAGAATATTGCAAAGCGACTCCAACAGATTCGCATTCCGTAAGGTTTTTTGGCAACTTGTAATTATCTGGGCAGGATTATTTGGGGATACCAAAGTTCTGAGCAAATGAAGTACACAGTGAAAGTTTGAAACTTTCTGAGGGCTCCATCCAATCTAAACAAACATGGGGCAAATTTAATAGCTTTAAATTGCTACATTCCAGCAGTTTTTATTGTTTAATTCCATATAGATGAACCAACCTACTAGGCAATGAAAATAATTTTAAAATTTACTTCAACCATCAACCTAGAAAGATTTTTGAAATATTTAAAATAAGAACAAAGATTAGGTGAAATATGTTTTTTCTTACATTAAGTTGGTTGGACTATTTTTGTTGGTTATTAATTTAGAATGAATATTAAGAATACAATTAATTTTAGAAAAATCTAGCTTAAAACCCAATAGATTTGTACTATACAAGAGCAGAAATACCGTTGGGTCGATAGCCTTATTCTGAAGAAATAATTCTGCTTTAATATTCTCATTTTGTTTTAGAAACTTCGTAAACCGGTTTTGTTCATTTTTAATTCTCCTAATTGTGCATTTATATTACTCCATTATCGTACTAAGGTTAATCAAGATTTGGCATAATATTATTTAATAATAGAAAGAATAGATTGAAGATATTGTTAAAAAATTGATGGCAGATTGTATTTCTAAATGTGCAAGCAAACACTTCTGACCAGGTGCCGATAAAAATATTTCAATGTCATATTGTTAAAGGTCTTTTTTAGTATACGCACCATATACAAAAATACTACTATGCATATAACCTGTATACCAGAAACAAAAAAGAAAGGTTTTAGAAAATAAAATCACATTGGCTATTAACAAACCTCCTCCAGATTATCCGGCAATATTAACATTGGTGCCAATTTTTGAATGTACGAGCCTTCTTGGAAGAAATTTATATTGCTAGTGTTATTATGCAGAAGGTTTAACATTAACAGCAAACAATCCTCTACAACAATGCCTCCATCGGTATATCCCTAAAAGAAAACATACAAACAAGAGTAAAATAATATTTGAAAAATTAGCTTTACATTTTCTACTTACTTCTTCACTTATAATAGTTAGCAGCTTGTCAAAAGCATTTTCAAAGGCAACGATCTTTTGAATATTCGCATTAGATTTAGTTAAATGTATCAACAACAGCACGGCATCATTTCGAATCACTTCTCGGTTTTCGGCCAACAAATCCATTAACTTAGACATGCCCATAGGGCTAACCAGAATAATGTCTTGTACTTCTTTAGGTCTACATGTTGTTAGGGAAATTAAGAATTTTACTGCTGGCCATCGAACTCTAAAATCACAAGAACATTAATTTAAATTGAGTTCGTTGATTCAAAGGCAGAGGAATATTACTTAATACAAATTTTTCTTTGTAGAATTATAGTCTTAAATATTCACATCATATTGCGAATAAAAACATGAGCTTTATCTCAACATTTCAGTAGTAAACGTATTAAGACGATTAGTCCCTAAAGTGTGAAGAAAAGAAAAATCTACAATTTAAAAACCACGAAAGTAATGGCTAATTGATAAAATAACTTAACATCCAATCAAGTATAAATAAATGTAAATTTACCTAAAATCGTATTCTTCCAGATAACTTAAGATTATTGGCAAGTTGTCTGGATTCTTCAAGAACATTTCTGAAAACTGTTCGCCAATATTAACATTTATATTAATATCGCTTTCCATTTCCTCTTCAAACACTTCTTTAGACGTGATGTTACACAGGGTATCTAAACAATAACTGAAACAAGTATATTTTCAGTTATTAAAACAAGTCCAGCTCATTAAAGGCATGTTTATTTACCTCAAGATTTCCGGATCGGTTTTGTCCAATTCTAACACCTGCTTTAATACATCTATGCCTTGGGCCCCCACTTCTATTCTGTATTTCTTTGATAATGCGCGTAGGGCTCTGCAGGCATCTCTGCGATCCTCTAGAAGAGTGCTGGTACTCACACGTGAAATCAGTTTCTCAATCTGTAAATACCGTATAAACAATATTGCATCAAACAGTACATGCAATAACAAACATATAAAAACAAGAAGTGAATGAATCAATAAAGCTTTGATGTTTTTCAACATGTACATTACAACTAATTAAGGGCCAAAGTACCTGTGTTAAAATAATACAGACCTCTGATAAAGGCCTGTTTAGGAATAACAAAACTTATAAATAAATTAAGAAAACTTTACAAACATCTGTTAACTTATTAAATGTATTAGTACCGTTTCAGCTCCTGTCGGATTAGTGCCTGGGGGTGGGCCTCCCAATACGGATTTTAATCCGCTTTTAAAGTATTCCATTTTTTATCTTTATTGATTTGAAAAGAATTAAATTTAAAAACACATATTACAATCCAGTTGTCAAATTCAACAAAGTTAGGTTATACACGTCAAATTTGTAAACAAATCAATCTTCATCTTTTAAATAGCATTTTGATGTACTTGCTAATACATACTGCATATGTCTATATTTAAAAAAAAAACATTGCTGCTCATTAACAAGGAAGAGGCATATACGGAAATTCAACAGTATTTGAAGATCTAGATTGTTGTGTACGTAACTTCAGCATAACCCCACTTAAGTTTGATTGTTATTGAAGCTGATTTTTTTTTCAATTTGTGGCGTAAAACTTTACGTTTAAAAAATACCAAACTATTTCACGTTTATATGAAAGTTGGAGACTTCAGATGGGACCAGATTTAAAAGCTGTTAAATCTGATAGATGTACTGGTGTGGATATAATTATTGAGGACTTAAAATCGCATCCATGTTGCCCTCATGGCCCCACATTGATGTTTTCTAAGGATGTGGGACAAGTTAAGAAGTACTTCTATAGCTGTTCCGCATGTAGAGATAGAAAATTATGTAATTTCTTCCTCTGGGCAGATGAGAAGGATAAAGTTTCCAAACATAAACTAGATGCTTGGGAGTGTGAGAGGATAACATTTTTAAAAGGAATCAATCATCGCAGGCAGTTTTTAGCATTTAATAAGGTAGATAATTTGGAAACGGGAATAACATCAATCTAATACACTGTATATGTAGGTTTCAGCACTACCTGCCCCCAAAAGATCGTTTTGCAATACCTGTTCAAAATTTATAATAGAAGACGAATGCAAGCATGCTGAACATTCGATAATATCGGATATAACAGATAATCAGTTGTCCCACCCTTCAGAATTGCTTCCGCCGCTAGTGAATGCCAAGAAAGAAGCCCAGTATTTATTCTCAAAAGAATCTGTTAAGTTTCTTGTTGATACCTTTTTATCTTTAAACTACAAGTAAGCAATGTACCAAGAAATTGGCAAGTTAATCGTGAGGTTTTTTAGGTACGTTATTTGCATAGGAACACCAAGAATACATGAATATATCCAATCCTCTGTGAAAGGTTTATCAAGCATATTACTAGACATAGATCGTAGATATCATAATTTCTTTGGACCTCTGGAGTTCTGCTGGTATAATTCCTTTAACAACCATTTCTTTTTTAAAGAAGCTCAATTGGGTTTTGAAGACTTTTTAAAAAGCAGCAGGTTTGTTTTTATTTGCTTATTCATAGGTCGGAGACGATTAGAATAGTTCACAGGTGTGCAATTTTAGAGGAGAAAATACGGTACTCGTAACAGACCCTCCTTTCGGGGGAAGGACAGAACCACTGGCACAAACGTTCTCTACTATAAACAACAAATACAAATCACTAACGAAAGGAAATGGAGAGTTACCAATGTTTTGGATTTTTCCATACTTTATGGAACCTCAGATACAGAACTCCTTACCAGAGTTTCAAATGGTTGATTATAAGGTAGAATATGATAATCATCCACTGTTTCATAATGGATCTAAAGGAAGAAAACAAGGGTCACCAGTTAGAATTTTTACCAATATCAGTTGCAGGTAAGACTTTTACACGCACATTGTTATACAGAAATGTCCCGAAATTACTTCGAGGTGTGGAGGGCGACTCTGAAGATTGAATTAGTAAGAGAATCAAATTTATTAAACAATTCTGAAAAGCAAAACATCTTGTTATTAATAGTTAGAAATTTTAGTACGAGACGTCACGTGCAGTCAGTTTATCCTAACAATTTTAATTATTTAATTAAATATTTTAATTCATTTAATTTAAATTTAAATAATGAAAATCCAGAAATATTGTTTTCATATAAAAATAAAATTCATGACAAGCTAACTGTAATGTTATCTGTAGTTATTCAACAGCGGTTTTATTTAATCATTTTCTATTTGAATTGTGAACAAGTTGGTGAATGATGTAGTACTTTTAAACCAATCTATCTACTTATCAGTCAACGTGTGTACGGGAAAAAATTAACAAAAATATTTTTTCACGAAGATATTACGTCTCTTAAAAATGCATTTTCAGCTTTAACTTTTTCATAGTTTAAACTATGCAGGAATAAGGTCTGCTATCCGTAACTCGAAAAATACAAGTACAATAAAAATAAAAATGTTAGATTTTGCTAAAGTGGGTATTTTACTTAAAAAGTCACTTCCTTTGAATAACTAATAAAAAAATAATTATATTTTTAACATTTATTACATAAGTAGTAACGGGATGGGTTATCCTCCGTAAAGCGTGGGCAACTGCACTATATTATTATTTTATTTATTATAAGCAAATACAAATATTTTCAAGACGATTAGAAACAGGTTCAAGGAAAAAAGCGTTCAAATAAAATCACGATTCGCTTCAATCATCTTATTAAATCTCTTTAGTTCTACTATCTTTATCAGAAATAGACGATGTTCTACAACCGTGAACATTTTGCTTTTGTATTGCATGCTAGTTTATCTTAATATTTTTTTAGTCAAATTAAATTGCCCCCTGACAACTACAGATTTTGTCATAAGTGCAATAAATGGGTAGCCAAGGAAAATAAGCATTGCATGATTTGTGCAATATGCCCATCTAAAAATGGACAAACCTACACTCATTGTAAACTATGCAAAAGGTGTGTGAAACCTAATTGGAGACATTGCAGTAATTGCCAAAGATGTGCTCAACTGAATCACTTATGTAAAGAAATACAGTTTAATGGAGTAAGTAATAAAATTTTAAACACTAGTAAACACAATTGCAAAGGAAAAATATGTTATATGCCGTAGATTCATTTAATAAAGTTGGTACAACTTTATTTCTTAACTTTTAAGTAAATACGAATATAGCATAATGTGTGTGAAAAAATCGGATAAAATAATTCGAATTATTCGGTAATGTGAAGAATCGTTTACTTCGATTTACTTTTTAGAATATTTCGAATCAATTATAGAACACAAGTATGAGTTTCATATACACGTAGAGTTGGAAGTTATTTAAACATTTATTAACGTCGAATGGTGATGTAATTTGAGGTTTAAGTATATCATAAAAATATAAGCCAGTTGCTACATCTGCATATGACGTTTGGTCTTGATAGCATTGAGCATATGATAATGAGCTTAATTAATAATCGTGAAATTTTATTAGATTTACTTATATTTCGGCTCTAATAGTATGAGAACATCCACTTAAATTTTCCAAAATAATTCGTAATTTTTTTAAAAATATACACTTCGTATCGTTCGTATCGAGTTCACACTGCAATAGTGTTATTTAATTCGATTAGATCATTCAAAATATAAGCTTGATTATTGAATGTGAAATAGTAGAAATATCTAGACTATAAAAGCATTTTGATTATTCCCATCACCAATTCATATATGATAGATAATTATCACGTTTTCAATTATTTTAGGTGTGCTTAACTTGTAAAAAGTTGGGTCATAAGAAGGCAGACTGTCCAGAAGTATACACATTAAATTCGTCCCACTCAAAGAGAAGGAAACAATTTCAACAATCCAAGTCCAAAAAACGAAAGCATTAAACTTTATTAACTTGGCTGGTTTAATTTAATATAAATATGTAAGAAGGCTATTTCGACATTTTATTTCCAACTGTTTATTTACTAGCATATGTTAGAAAATAACAATAAATTCAAATTACTACCATTTACGCGCGTTTGTTCATTTTTTCTACTGTGGTGCGTCCAGACTGCGCCAGACAATCGCGAACGGTGAAAATTTCAAGAAATATGACTAATACGGACGGTATCCTGCACAAACCAGCAAAGCCGCGCGCGAACAAATATGTTCCGGTTGATCGGTACATCAAAGAAATGTTTGTGTTCGGGCAAATTTAGTTTGGACGCAGAACAGTTTACTATACGCGCTTGTGCGAATCTGAAGAAAATAACACACTGAGACCACGAAAAAATATTACATCTGATAAATTTATATGAAAATCAGCGTAAATTATGGGATTGAAGTAATAAAAATGTCAATATATAGTCGTCCAATAACGTCTATTCAGTCTCTTTTTCTTTTTAGACGAATCACACAAAATTATGAAAGCTGCCGCTGCAATTTTAACATGACCCATGATGAACAGCACATATATTTCGCAGCGCAAGCTGGAACCTTGGCAAAAGCAAACATTTTTAATTAACATTGCAGCAATGTAGACGCAAGGCGCAAATTGTGTGTGAACGTTTGCGAATGTTTGGCGCGGTATTGCGCTACGGTCTGGACGCACCTTTAGTAGCGTCACTGTGATCTGTGGACAACCTCAAACAGGAAGAAGAAGAGCGCGTTTTGTTTCTTATATTTTTGGAAGCAAAGTTTTTGAGGTTATTTCAAATAATGCTCAAGATTATTCAAGAATAGGCTCACTATATACTTTCACAAAGTAGTTTTGTAAATGTGTTTGTATTTATTGTACAAATATGTAAATTTGCAGTTTGTAAAATTATATGTGGTCTCTTAGACTAGTCTAAAGTTTCAGATATAATCAGAATGAGTAGAAACAGAGAATTGATCTCAAAAATAGGCCTTCGCTTGGATGGTCGAAGGCCTGATGAGTTGCGGAGAATTCGCTGTAAAATGGGTGTTTTCAGTCAGCCTGATGGTAGTGCTTACATAGAACAAGGACTTACTAAAGTCTTGGCTGCAGTTTATGGACCTCATCAAGTGCGTAGCAGGCAGAAGGCCCAACATGATGCCTGCATTATTAATACCCAATTTAGCATGGCAGTTTTCTCAACAAACGAGAGGAAAAAGAGACCAAGAGGTTAGTATTACCACACATTGAAGCACATGCGGGCTCTATTTAAAAACCCAATTTATATTCTAACATTCTTTTAAATATGTTATTGTTTGCACGTGATAGTGCAAGGGTCAAATCGTTTAGGTATCACGAAGTTAAGGAATCACTTTATTAGAATTGTTGAAAAAAGTGTTTTATTTCACTAATTTACCATTCCTGTATTTATTACACATAATTTAAAAATTGTAATTACTGGGAACCCAATTAATTAGGAATATAAAAAGACAGATATCGAAGAAAATGTTAAAATGTTATATAATTATACCGACAGAAGGGAATTAAAAATAATGTCTAATATAATCCGCAAAGTAATTTTGTCCTTGCTCAGAAACATAGAAAACAACTCACCTTGGATCTACGCAGAACACTATTGAAACATTACTTGTTTTGCAATAGTAAGAATGTTATTTATAACAACCCGTAACACTAGTTTTTTAATCAGTTTTTTCAAAACACTTGAAGTAACAACAAAACTTTTAAATCGTTTACTATGAGGTTAATATTTTGAAGAGTTATAACGTTGGGATGACCAGGGTTAAAAAATGTTTGATAAAGTTGCATACACGTTTTTTCCTTTACCCTGCATATCATTTTAATTTTACATTTTATCAGAAGCAATAACATCTTAGTTTTATGCAACTTTCCAATATAAAACCCTACATACAATTAAATAATTTTCCAAAATCCTAGTTAGACATATTGTATTTATTTAGGTGATAGAAAATCCACAGAAATGTCTATGCATCTTCAACAAGCATTACTCTCAGTAATTGAAACGGACTTATATCCATGGTCTCAGATAGATGTGTATGTAGAAGTTTTGCATGCGGATGGTGGCATATACCCTGCTTGTGTGAATGCTGCAACATTGGCAGTCATCGATGCTGGTTAGTAGCAATCAAAATCTTATCGTTGATCTATTGACGACACAAAAAAACTTTTGTCTTACAGGAATTCCTATCAAAGAGTATGTGTGTGCTTGCACAGCCAGTTTGGGCAATAATGAAGTTCCGATGTTGGATGTCTCGCATCAGGAGGAAATACTCGGGGGGCCTACTTTAACCGTGGCAGCTCTACCGATGTCTGGCAAAATTGTTCTAATGGAAATGTCTCAAAGATTTCACCTGGATCATTTGCCTAAAGTGCTCAACAAAGCGTTGGAAGGCTGCAAAGATGTCAAAGCGATATTGGATGAGGCAGTGAAAAACCATGTGAGCGAAATAGGTAGCGCAACAGGTTGGGCTAACACCACTAGTTGAAATAAATTATTTTTCCTTATTGCTGTTTTTGTTTTCAATTTTTATATAGTTTCCCATAGAAAGCCGAAATTTTATTGAAAGCAGCAAAATTCGTTTGTTGTCCCTATGTTTCTTCTTTATCAACCCTGTTTCCTTCATTCCAGCAGTAATATGCTTTCAGTTTTAAAATTGTAAAGCTAGTTTCTAATTGAGAATGGTGTATTTTTTGGCGCTTTAGGCCATCCTTGAAAATTATTTATTCTTGGCGTATTGCAAACAGGAGTGTTTCGTTCGAAAGCTTACCCTGGAGAAAAACCTTTGGAAAGAAATACCTACGAAGATGCACCCTGTGCTTGCGAAACGGTAGGAAGAAAGTCTTACCACGATGGCCTATAGGCTCGAAAAATTCACCAGCTTGAAGCAATGGATAACTCTGTAGCTGCTAATTGTTTCAGATAATTCTAATAAACCGCTCTCTCCAAAGAACCTATTTTCTTACAAATTACTAAGTTGCAGAGTGCTAAGAAGGTTCGACACATGCGTTAAATGTAGATATCTCCGAAGTTACAAATATCACACAAAAAAACTGTAACGAATAACATGCTGGTATTAGTTCACTTATTGTTATTCAAACAGTTAATCGATTATATACATCAGTTGTAGATCAATAAGATACTGTTTTTATTCAAAGAAGTATGCTTTTAGAACATTGTAACTTTTTCGAAATGTTTGGATAATTTTTTCAGATCCACTTATAAACAAATACACTAAATACAGAAAAAACAAATAAACTGATCAACAAACTTGGACTATCTTTGGAACTGGATTGATTCGGATTGCTCCGAGCGATTTGATTTCGGTTTGAAGCGTTATTTAGTGCAATTATTTTTCCGTTAGTGCGTCTCTTTGCAAACATTTTGTAATTCAGATAAAGTTTGTGCAGGGTGGCAAATAAACTAATGCAAAATTGGTGAAAGTTCGACTTTCTCTCAATTAACAAAAATTAACGTTTTTTTGTTTATTTTAGCAGCACCGGCATTAAGATAAAAAGTTTTCCAATTTTTCCCCTATTTCGTTTATTTACAGAGTGATCACAAAAAAATCAGCGTTTTAGCCTTCAGTAATTTTTCAGGCCACATATTGAATTTTTGCCGATGACGTTTTAGCCTCAACATGAAAAAATGTTGTCGCTGCAAGACCAAAAAGTTGTTTTTTGAGGCCATTTTATATATAAAAGAGATTAAAAATAGAGAAAAATTAAAAACTGTTTCGAGCTGATTATCTTTGTGGAGCTGTTATATTTTGGTGTTGCGATTCTAAAAAGCTCATTTTTGTCAAACCTTGCAAAATTTTGCATTTTTTTATTTGCCGCTTCGTAAAAAAATTATCTGAGTGGCTTACTTTTTACCAAAACATTGACAAACAAATGGGGCTAGATAACGCTTCAAACCGAAACCAAATCATTTGAAGAAATCGGAATTTATCCAAAGTTCGGACCAGTTTGGATGTGTAACGTTCATTTTGTTGAGCAGTTTAGTATAGCACGCACGTAAAATGGACAAAGTAAAAATAAAATGCTTTCTAAGATTACTTTTTAAGGGTGTCCGATTCACATAAAGAATAAATTTCAAAAATAATTATTTTTATTGAATGATAAAGGCAATAAAAAACGTGCAAACTAACGTTTAGATACCTATTTGTTGTAATTTTTCTAAATACGCTTTACATACTCTTTTCGGCGGCCTTGTGGCTTGACTACTATTTGTTGGCTATTTAAAGTATTACAATTAATAAACAAAAAGCATCTCACATAAAGTTATCTATTCTAGCTAACAACAATAAAAGTTTAAATACTTTGCGGGTCGGGAGAATATGTTTAAATACAACAGAAAATGATTATTTCTAATGGTGTGGGCACCAAGTACATTTTTTTGGTTGACAGACTGTTGCTTGAAGAACATATTTCGCTTATTGATACCCCAAATAATATATTCCTATAGCAAAAAAAATTCAAACGGATGAAAATTGCATCAATTCAAAATACTACAAAACAATCCGGGAAGTGTAAAAAAGTTCATCTCCGAAATGGTTTAAAATATCCCTTCATAAAATTTTCTATTGCGACAACTGTGTTTCACTGGTTCTTTCACCAAAATTGGTTTTAGATCCTTTGAGGACAAAAAGAAAACAATCAATTATCCACCTACCAAAAAACTTTCTCTAAATAATTCAGTTTTATCAGAAAGCTCACCGCTAAAGAGATGGAAAATTAACCAATACTGCATAATTTTTATTTGCAATACGAGAAAAGCTTTCTATTTCTAAAGAAAATTTGCCAACAATTCGACGTACTTAGCGGATTTCGTGATGAAAAACATTTTGTCGGAAATATCTGAAGCGACCTGAATTGTCCGGCTTCTGATACAAATAATGTTCTCAACATGGCGAAACAACTCATTAAACTTCCAATTTTTAATCAAATAATTACGACTGATGTTTGAATATTCCCGAAGATGCAACTGGACTTATTTTACTTACGTTTTTATATGATTTTGCTTGTTCTCCTGTGCTAAATTCTATATTTGCTTGAATTGATCAGAAATAGAACTGAATCACTATTTAGTTATTTTGGCTTATTAAAGTAAATTGTATTTATTGGAGTGTCGTTTTTATTTAAGGGAACACACTAATTTTGATTTTATTTATTTGTTCTTCTTGGTAATTTAAATCCTATTAGTGATTTTGTTTTTGGGTTCCTTTACTTTGTGTTGACCGATTTTGTTTCTTTGAATCGAAATATTACAATTATAAAATATCTACTTCTAAGTTTGAATGGTATATTTAGGTTTATTAATGACTAGGTATTCACGACAAACCCAACATTTTAATTTGAAAAGGCAGGTTAAAGAAAGTAGTAAATTAATTTCAGCTTTCCAAGTTGAATTCGCTTTTTATGTTTGAACCCGGGTTCGATGTTATGATAAACCGGTAGAAAATTAGAACCCTAGACTAAGCAACAAATTGACATAGTGCAAGTTTATTTAAATTTTCAATCTCTTATTTGGTGCTAATTATAAGCTTAATGGCAATCCTGCGTAGATAATCGCCAGAAATCTCGAACGCTGACGAAGTTTCTATGATTTATAGGAAATCCCTGTTTCGGATAACGGGTTTAAACCTTTCGGCTCAGGCCTAAGCATTTTAAATGATTTATTAAATTATAAAAATAATTAATATAAAGTGCCTATATTAGAATGAGTAACAAATGTGGAAATCAAACTCAAAGAATTTGATTAAATAAATCTTCAATATGTATGCTATTGTAAAATCTACGTTAGATTATTATGGGCACAGACAACACTATCAATGTCTAAATATAGATAGGCACTTCTTAAATGGTTATTTTTACTGAAAGAAAATAACTGTTTCAAGGAATCCTAATTTTAAGTGAGAAGGGGTTGGCTGGTGCGTGGAGAAATATGTTTGGTTGTTTGGATCAAATTTGGTAAGTAGTTAAAAAGTAATACTTTTTTTAAACTTTTCAATTTTATGTTGCGTATATAAATCTGTTTTTGGGTGTTTGAACAGTATTCATGTCATGCGTTTTACTAGTGAAGACTTAAAATAATGATGAAATAATATTAGAGAGATATTGGATGATCAATTAAAAAGGATTTTGTGACCTAAAAAAAGAAAATATCAACACATTTTACTTTTATCATATTTGTGAAATTGGTCACGACTTAGGCCGGTAAAATGCATAGACTTGACTCACGTTTAGAAATCGTTTTTAATCTTACACCAAACAAATTTTTAAGTCCATTCTGTGTTTGAAAATAAAATTTAATTTTTGCTGGTTATACATTAAATGTACATTTTTTTGCGATATTCTTATAATCGTAATTAAATACAGCCGAAGTAAGATAATCGACACTTCGGATAGATCTACTAATTATTTTTAGTATTTACTGGTATAAAGTTATTGCAGTTTATATATTCATATTAAATTGTTTAAAATCGAATTCGAATTAGAAAATATTTCAATTTTCCTAAGAATTCAACAACTTTTTGCTGATAAAAATATTAGGAAATTACAGAAAATGTAGATCAGTATATTCGAAAAAAAATGTTTTACAAATTCCAGAATTTTTATGATCTGTTATAGATAAACGAGTTTTGTTCAGTTTTGATGCAGTCGTTGCGTATAACTTTGGGTAATCGTTTACAGGTTGCCGCATATTGTGTTACAAAAATTGTTCTTACGGTCTTTGCAAGTTTAAGAAATACATATACAAAGCTGCTCATATACAATGAATATACAGGAAGCACAATATTGCAACAGAATTTTTTTTTTTTTAAATAAAGTACTCTATCCATTTAATCCTATTTGATCTGAGGTCTGATGTACCAAATTAACCGTCCAAAAGCCGTTTTTAGAAAATAGTAAACATTACTACTTCAATACATACATTAGCTGCGATCAAAAACCTCATAAAACTCACCAGGTGGACGGTCTACAGTTCTGATTTGATCCCAGTTATTTCTGCCTTGTGGAAAAATCTTAAGGATAGTGTCGCGAAAATACGATAATTTGCAAACTTGACTAAAACCCGCTTATGTAAACATTATGATACAGAGTTCCGTAAATTGAAACTCTTTGTAAAACATTTTTATTATTAAAATCAAAAGACATTTTGTTATGTAATAAAGTGTGTATTTTATTCAATGGTAAATGATGTAATTTGACCCTTGATAAATACGGCCTTAAATACACACTTTATTACAAAACAAAATCTCTTTTGATTTGAGTTTCTTCAGTGTGTACACACTTGCTTCCCCCCCCCCACACTTTTATAATTAATTTAAAAAAATATATTTGATATATACAAATTACTTTTGGAAAACACGTTTAAATGTGCAATTACACAGATTTGCAATGAAGATAATCCTTTTTGAAACGCATGACTGCAATAATAATGAAATATGTAATTAATTAATAAAGTCATTTATACTTAATTATAAAATTAAAAAATAGTAAAAAAGGCAAAATACCTATTTTTTAATCACAAATAGGTTTGATTGTATATTTAAATTTGGTTTTTAGTTCTGATCAACTTTTTTTAATAACCATTTTCAATACTATCAAAAAGAAATGTATAAGTAATAAGACATATATATATATACATATTTACCTATTTATTATATGTTATAAGTATTATGTTTTTCAAATTCATTTCAAGTCAGCAGTAATTTTCGACTTATTTTTGGTCATGTTACCCACGAAGGTTTCTTGCACTGCGGACTATAACAGGAAGATGGAAAATTAACAATTTATTATTTGTCTATATTTAAAGGCTATTATCTCTAAATTCATTTTAAACTGTTTGAAATTGCGGAAATAATTAGAATCAGCCCCCAAGTGTTGACCCACTCAATTGTATTGATCTTTAATAAAGAATGTCGAAATAGCTGATGTCGCATTGAATTTGGGACACATTGTATAGTTCAGTTATAATTTAAATTGGGCTTGTCATAATGAGAAAGCAGATATTGATAAAAAGGGTGAAGGTTTCTACGACAATATACGTAAAATATTCCTATATTTTTGAATGTTTTGTTTCAACTAATTAAATAATGGAAATTGCGAAAATGTTTACACGTCCGCCTTACAAACGAAATATTTGTATTAAGTATTTGCCATATTCAGAATTTGGTCGTCTTCAGTTACTTTAATTAATGAAAAATTCACCAGTGGTTCAACACTCAAAATATTCCCGATGTTGTTTCAACAACTGGATGTTGGCTGTTTTCTATGCGAATTTGAACATTCTGTTACATTTCCTAACTGTTCAACAGTACCTTTAGTTCTTATAACCCACGACATTAGTGCTTTTTAACATCACGTACATTAACAGGTACTACCATCGAAAAATTCTATTAAAATTGATTTATTTGTCGGACCCTCGTATATTCAGTTCTTGTATTCTCTTTCCTCTGCAGTTCGCTTTTCAGTTCTTCGGCAAGCTAACACGATAGTCAGTGAATTGTGTTCAAAGTGGACAGTCCATGTCGATTCGCCCCCGCAATGCCGCAAGTTTCCGTGAATTTCAAATATCGTGAACTTAATCGCAAACTTTTGAGTGCATTTTTCTGAACAAATTAGCAAACTATTGGCTATGTGATTGATTTGGGTTTCGGGACTTTTTAGTGAAATCGTGCCGCGATTTTTGGTTTGCTGTGACATTGGATCGTATTTGGTTTTTGCATCAGATCAATCAACAGCATCAGGAAGCGCAACATTTTTAAGTGAGTAATTTTTATGTTTTTTGTTTAAAGATCAATTTCCTGCCAGTTTTTTTGGACATTTAATAGATATTGGAGCTTATTGATGGTTCAAATTTGTTAATTGTGAATATCGACTTTGACAAAAAATGGGCTACTACTATATACCACCATACGCTTCGTTAAACAAGTTTAGTTGTGAACGCCCTGAATATCAAGTAATTAACACCCAAATGATGCGTTTAAAATGTCCAAGGCATTCTTAAAGAAATGTTCACTGTACGAGAAATTTGCGACTGCTCATGAATTGCAAGTTCGTGGAAAATCGTACTTCAAGATTATCTACTTACGAGAGAATGGAAAGGTGTTTATGAGAAATTAAATATTATTTTCACTTTCAACTTCCTTATTTTCGGCAACTGGTTAATATTATTTAAAAATCCTCCTTTTACACTAACACATAAAGATGTGATGTAAAAAATCTTTGACATCTGAATATTAACATAAATGCGTAATTATCCGAAAAATGAACGTATAATATCCGTTGGCAAATTTTAATAAGTTTGCCATTTACATTTTCCATCTGTTCTTTCATGGCATGCTTCTTTCATGGTTCTTTCTGGCATTTCCTCTGAGCATTACGAAAACGTCAGACTTTCTGCTTTTTATTGACTCACATAGATACTTTTATCATAAGCGCCAAATAAAATCAATTGCAATATCTGAAATGTAAATAATTCAATTCTATTTAGGGTATAAAGCAAATCACAATTTAACGTTTTATATTGAAAAATAAAAAAAAAATATCTTTTAAATAAAACATATATTAATTTTACCAAATAGTCAGTGAAAAACAAAATAATCTGTTGTCAAAAATAAAATATTTACAGCCACTATGGTTGTGAGCTCCACACCTTAGAACTTGCTAAGCCTAGATTTAAATATTTTTTCAGCAAAAATTACAGAACGATCAATATCGGAACCAATCTATGTTTCCACATTAAATTTTATTTTGTGAACCCATTATACCGTGCAGTTTCACCTATTTATTGATTAGCATGACGAAGCTGACTGGTAGCAATGTACCCACTATTGAACAGTTTTGAAAGCATTGACATAAACAGGAAGCCAATTCTAAATATAAAAAAATAGTTTTAAAAATGCTTGAGGTGCTTAATTTACATCCGGGGTTTTTGCAATATTTTCAGTGAAAGCAAATATCGCACACACTTTAAGTATATGTTTTTAACATATTTAAAAAAAAAATAATAATATAAAGCAATTTTTGATCATTTAAAAATCAATCAATAAATAAAAGGTCAATATGTATCAGTTTCAATTTATATACAAAGTACAATATAATTTGCCGTTATTGTTTCCACGAAAGTATTTCAGAATGGTGACACAGACACATTTCTGTTTGATTCGCCTCTAAATATTTATTTCGCCCTCTTTTGTTCGCAAAATCATGTATTATATAGATATCGATATAATAAAATTGACCTCAATTGTAATGTGTATGTATGTAGTACGTTTAGAGGAAATCGATTAAGAAATTCAACTGAAATACAATGGCAATATATAAATGGTTATATTTTCTTTCAAAGAATCCAACCCAATTTACTTAAAGCTTGTTATTGTATTTTTGGTCGAAGAAACGTTATTGCTTAACAATTTATGAAAGAAACTATTATATTAACGAATGAAACAAAATAAACACTTACAAACTACACATATCACTTTTTATTCGCACTTATTAATATATGTTTTATCAAATAGCTTCGTAAAAAAATCGCATCGTAAAACTTAATTATAATAACCAGCTCTCAACATTTTATGCAGTTAATTGATCTTACTGCCATCATAAAACTGCTAATTAAATGTGTAACTTTACAGATTAAAATGTGTGATTTTTTGGAAGCTTTGTTTTCTTTGGCCTTCTTAAAATCGAAAGTTCTCAAACTGAACAGATTTAGTCAAGTAGTGCCAAAAATCAATAGACCCACTTAATTGATGCCAGCAATATATTCAAAGCGCTACTCATTGTTTATTACACATACATATTTAGGAAACAAATAAAGTGAAATGTGTGATTGCTGAAGGTGCTTTCAGACTTACGATTGTTCGATTGCCGTGCTTCTAGTCAGAATTTACAGTACAAATTCTCATTATTAAATTAATTTAATTCATCATCAAATCATAAGATTGCAGACAGTTAAACAAATTTAATTCGTTTTGTAATTGGGGAGGAAAAAAACCTTCTCCAAAATGCATAGTTCAGGTGGCGTAAAATATGTATTTTTCTCTTATTTTTTTAATAAGTAAATACTTATGTCAGTAGACTTTATCAAACAAATTGACAAATATTAATAATTAATAAATGGCGTCTATAAGACGACTAAACAGTTAAAAATATACAAGCAACTTTTAAAACAGTGAATATAGCCAAATAATTTGTCTGCAATTAAACGAGTGGGGTAATTTTCAAACATACTCATTTCAGGAATTTCAAGGTGAAGAGATTTATTTCTCCTGCGTTTTAGATAGGAAATGCCAGATATATCAAGAGATACTTGACATTTTACAATAGTCACATACAGTGTGTATTTATTTGAATTCCTCTTCAATTTCACCAGAATAAAATCGTCACCAGAACTGTTTTCCTCGTTCTATAATACATATTTATTTGCAATTATTTAGGGCTCAATTGTATCCTTAGGCTTTATTTGCTCTCTGATGATCTTATTTTCATTAAAATTCTTCCTGGGCCTACGTGTCCGCTACAAATTATGTTTGTGATAAATTTTAAAATAAGAGGTTATAAGGGAAATAAAATTTAAAACATATGCCATAAAGTATTTACGAAATTAAAATATACGTATAAAGATAAAGAGATAAAACTGCACAATGGAAATCTAGCAAAAGAAAATCAAACACAATATTATTAAATATTGCTTACTTTTGTGCGGATTTTTAGAGTGTTGTTTGGTGAAGAGAAGAAAAGAAGGAAAAAGGAAATTTTAAGTTTTGTTCAACTCTACATTTTTATATGCACATATAAATATGTATACATATATTTATGTAATTTAGCAAATTATTTATGGTATTACTTGTTTCTCAATTTTTCTTCTTCTCTTCCATTTTTATATTAAATACAAACCTATCACATTATGATTAGATTTCAGATAACTTTGTCTCTATTTTACAGCCCTGATGATGGCTTCAATATAACTGAAACGTAGGCCTAGAAAATAGTGTTTTTCTTCCGTAAACGTTAATAGAACATCTTATATAAATTACCTACTAATTATATGTTTATTTTAATTTGAATAGGCTTTAAATCATTTTTTAAATATTCAAGCTCAAAATGCATGTGTAGTTTATTATACAAAGGCAATATATTGTTTTTTTCCGAATTATTTCAGGTTGCTGCTCAATTTAACATTGGATTTTTTTGAGCCTGCATCAGCCTCATATTTTCAATTTCGCTTTTTGCTGTCTTAATTTCCTAGGTATTTTCTGAATAAACTTTTTTTGTTTTTAGTAGTTCTGTTCCTTTCCCAATACTTAAATTTTTTATGTTTTTTGTTACTAAGTAAGTTATCTGTTTTTTTTTTCGTTTATTTAGAATAAAGAATGAACAATTTATCTTGGCATGAGAGAAGAATGAAAAGCGAGAGTCATTCATCTTCGTTCGTTCTTATTTGGTCAACTTGATAATTTTTATTTTAACCGTTTTGGATCCAATTAGCATCTTTGCATGAGTTAAATTCAATTCAATTTACTTTTTGCTAAAGACTTTTAAAAACGTAAATATTTTCTAGCCTTTATAGATAGTTAAGAAGTTGCTTTAATATACTTTAATGTTACTCTCCGTATGAATAGACGTTTCCATTTATTGAGTGCCTAACATTTAGACTCTTCAAATGCTTTTAAACTCGTTTTTAGACCAAAGGCGTATTTTTTAAATATAATATAATGGTAATAGTAATAGTATATTTTGATTACATATAAGCTGATATACTCTAGTATATGTTCATAGCCCAATTTAAAAAAATACATGGAAATACCACTTATAAGTAACAAACGAAGTTAAATTCGAAACAACTCCAGTGGCATAAATAAATATAGAACGAATAATGACATTTTTTTCTTCAAATGGATTTTATAATGTTTGCTTTCTTCACTTTTAAATTTATTATAACGTATGTGAGACGTACTCGGTAACGCCTTTGTCATGCCCACAAAGCATTGGAGACCCCTTTTAGTATATATTCAGATTTTTGTATAATTTTCTGGCAAAGTTCTTCGACCTTTCGTTAACATGAATTTAGTTCAGTTGTTTTTCGATTCGTCGCATATTTTTTGTATTGTATTTGCTATTGCATAAAGAGCGTCTGCTCTTCTGTTTAATGTTTCTAAAACGTTTTTAATTATTTCAGCACTTATCAGCATGATACATTCCATTTCTAAGATGTTCCGCTTGTCTCTTTTCGCCCGCATGCAGTTTTCAAAGGAATGTTTATTTAATTACTCTTCCAAAATGTTTATGTCTGAATCTTCATATCTTTTATGTGTTTTGTATTACGTTTGTTATATGTAAGTGTTTTCTACATATTTCCCAAATTTTTCGGGGGGCAGTAAATAGGGTGTACACATATGTATAAATGTTTAAAATCATTAACTGCCGAAATGAGAAGATTAGAGTCCTAGAGAGCTCTACCGGAAGAAGAAATTCTCCGGTAGAGCTATCTAAAAACTTTAATTTTAACACTGGACCTTGAAAAAGTTGCGTTGTTGAGCAAATGTCTATGAAGCAGAAATGCTTCTTAAAAGCTTACCGGTATATCTAGAGGTGTTTCCTGTATATCAATTTCTAAACATAAATCGTATTCAGTTTTTCGTGGTTTTTTCATGCTCCAGTTAGGTGTCTTATCACCAATTGACCTTAAAATTAATTTTATGCCGATATTACGGCATAAAATATGTACTGTATCTGATTATTATATAAGTAATATTCGCTG